CTCCTCCTCCTCCTCCTCCTCCTCCTCCTCCTCTACCTCATCGTCGACCCCGAGCGTGATCACTACCCGGACCATCTCCTCGCCCTCCTCCTCCTCCTCCTCCTCAAATTCAGCCTCCTCATCGTCCACCTCGAGCTTGATCGCTACCTGGGTCATCTCCTCCTCCTCCGCCTTCTCCTCCTCCTCCTCCTCCTGCTCAGGCGCCTCCTACTCATCCGTTTCCTCGTCCACCTCGAGCTTGATCGTTACCTTGGCCATATGCTTCTCCTCTTCCTCCTCCTCCTCCTCTTCCACATGTTCCTCCTCCTCCTCGTCCACCTCGAGCTGGATCACGACCGTGGCCATCTCCTCGTCCTCCTCCTCCTCCTCCTCCTCCTCCTCCTCCTCCTCCTCCTCCTCCTCATCCTCCCCCCCTCTTCCTCCTTCATCCTCCTCCTCTTCCTCCTCCTCCTCCTCCTCATCCTCCTCCTCCTCCTCAACCACCTCGAGCTTAATCGCTACCTTGGCCGTCTCCCCTCCTCCTCCTCCTCCTCCGCCTCCCCTCCTCCTCCTCCTCTCCTCCTCCTCCTCCTCCTCCATCCTTCTCCTCGTCCACCTCGAGCTTGCTCGCTACCTATGCCACCGCCCCTCATCATACTTCTCCTCATCCTCCTCCTCCTCCTCCTCCTCCTCCTCCTCCGCAGCCGCCTCCTCCTCTCTACGTCCACCTCGAGCGTGATCGCTAACTTGGTCATGTCCTCCTCCTCCTCCTCCTCCTCATCCTCCTCCTCCACCGCCTTCCCTCTCCCTCATCCTCCTCCTCTTACTCCTCCTCCTCACCGAGATTGATCACTACCCCAGCGATCTCCTTGTCCTCCTCCACCTCGAACTCCTCCTCCTCCTCCTCCTCCTTCTCCTCTTCCCCCCCTCCTCCTCCACGTCTTCCTTGTCTACCTGGAGCTTGCTCGCCTCCTTGGCCATCTGCTCCTCCTCCTCCTCCTCCTCCTCCTCCTCCTCCTCCGCCACCTCCCCCTCTCCTCCCTCCTCCTCGTCTACCTCGAGCTTGATCGCTGCATTGGCCACCTCCTCCTCCTAATCCTCCTCCTCCTCCTCCTCCTCCTCTTCCTCCTCCTCCTCCTCCTTCTCCCCCTCATCCTCCTCCCTCGTCGACCTCGAGCTTGCTCGCTACCCAGGCCACCTTCTCCTCCTGCGTCTCCTCCTAACTCACCTCGAGCGCGATCGCTACCTGGGTCATCTCCTCCTCCTCCTCCTCATCCTCCTCCTCCTCCTCTCCTCCTCCTCTTCATCCTCCTCCTCCTTGGCGTTCTCTTCCTCCTCCTCCTCCTTTCTCCTCCTCCTCCTCCTCCTCCTCCTCCTCCTCCTCTTCATTGTCCACGTCGAGCTTGATCGCCTCGTTGGCCAGCTGCTCTTCTTCCCTCCTCAACCACCTCCTCCTCCTCCTCCTCCACCGCCTCCTCCTCGTCCACCTCGACCTTGATCGATAGCTTGGCGATCTCCGCCTCCTCCTTATGTTCCTCCTCCTCGTCCTACTCCTCTTCCTCGTCCGCCTCGAGCGTGATCGCTAATTACAGTGGTTGTCTCGTCGTCGTCGCCATCCTCCTCCTCGTCCTCCTTCTCCTCCTCCTCCTCCTCGTCCTACTCCTCATCCTCCGCCTCATCCTCGTCCACCTCGAGCTTGATCGCTAGCTTGGCCTTCTCCTCCTTCTCCTCGTCAGCCTCCGCCCCGTCCTCCTCCTCCTCCTCCTCCTCCTCCTTCTTCTTTCGTCCTTCCTCCTCCTCCTCTCCTCCTCCTCCTCCTCCTCTCCTCCTCCTCCTCCTCCTCCTCCTCTCTCCTCCCTCCTCCTCCTCCTCCTCTCCTCCTCCTCCTCCTCCTACTCCTCCTCCTCTCTCCTCCTCCTCCTCCTCCTTCTCCTACTACTCCTCCTCCTCCTCCTCGTCCACCTCGAGCTCGATCGCTACCTTGGTCACCTCTCTCCTCCTCCTCCTCCTCCTCCTCCTCCTCCTCCTCCTCCGCCTCCCTCCTCCTCCTCCTCCTCCTCCTCCTGCCCCCCCCCTCCTCCTCTCCCCCTCCCCCTCTCCCTCCCCCTCCCCCTCCTCCTTCTCCTCCTCCTTCTCCTCCTCCTCCTCCTCCTCTTCCTCCCCGTCTTCCTCCTCCACCTCCTCCTCCTCGTTTTCTTCTTCGTCTTATTCTTATTCGCCCTGTTATTATGTTTCTTCTTCTTATTTTTTTTCTTCTTCTTCTTCCTCCTCCTCCTCCTCCTCCTCCTCCTCCTCCTCCCTATTGCTACATTTTGATCCGCCTCCCAGCGCTCCAGCGCGGAGGCGGGGGCGAGGGGCGGCGAGGCGGGAGCGAGGGGAGGCCGCCCGGCTGGGGCCAGAGGGCTCGGCCAGCCGTGGGCCTAACTCGAGATCTATGCGAGAGGGTCGAGGAGATCAGCGCTGTGGAGGGGCAACGATAAGGGGGGACGGGCATAGGGGGGGGTGCATCGACCAGGACGGCGATACGTCGTCGATAGATCGGCGGTAGCCCTCCCATCGCGAAACGGCACCTTCCTGGGCGGGGTGGGTCTATCAGGTCCCTGTGGGCGATCAGTGGGCGATTGGGGGTCGATGCATCCCCCCCTACGCCTATCCCCCCCCTACCGTTGCCCCTGAGCTGTGCTGAGAGGCCCGAGGAGATCCGCGCGATGTGTTTAGAGGGCCGAGGGGATCAGTGCTGTGACTCGCAAGAGGCGGCGGACTCCAAGGGTAGCCTCGGATGGGGCGGGGCCTCAACTACTCCCTAATTACCCCGTCCCCCCTCCGCAGTCCTCCCCCCGCGGCCGCGGGTGATCAGGTGATCAGCGAAGGAGGACGAACAGAACATCCGTTTCCGGCGGCTGAATTCTATGAGCCAGCCCCACTCAATCATTCTGGGGGGTCCGGGGGTGGGTGGGTGGGGGTGGGCGATTTTTGAATCGCTTCCCCCCAATAGCCTCGGATGGGGCGGGGCCTCCGGCCGAGCGCCCCTCCCGGGCCCGGGGCCGCCCGCGCCCGCGCCGCCCCCTCGCGCGGGCACTCGCGGGCCCCTCTCGCTGGCTTCCTCGCCGCCCCTCCACGCGCTGCCCCTCCTATGCAGAGCCGGTCAGCAGACGCGCCCACGGCAGGAATCGAGCGGGTCAGGGCCGTCGAGTCAGCGCCAGGGGCCCCTTCGCAGACGCTGAGCATGGAAGCCCTGGTGGCTCTTCCTCCCTCGAGGGGTAGAGAAGGAAGAGAGCTGCATGCACGTCAGCTTTCGGAGCTCCGCGCGGATTTCCTGGCATCGGCGCCGGGCTGCGCCCCCCTCCCGGCGCGCGTGGCGCGCGAGGGGTGGCGCCGGAGGAGCCGCCTGGGTAGAGGGGGGCCGGCGCAGATGCAAGAGATCCGCGCGGAGCTCCCAACGTTGATGTGCATGCCAGTCTTCTTCTTCGGTAGGAGTCGAGGAATCGAGGAGAGAAACGCTCCGAGATGCGACGGCCACGATGCCGGATCAGCCAGAGTCGAGGACATCAATGCCCCCGCGGAGTGGATGGGGTCGTCGAGTCGTACCAGCGACGTCGAGACGGATAAACTCATGCTCTGGCATGCGCCGCGTCGCCGTGGCTTCGGCGATGCGGCGCGATCCTCTGCTTTGCGCTGCTCCAATATTGGCGGCCTGGTTAAAGGATTGGAAGGATAGAGAGACCCAGAGGAGGAGGAGGAGGAGGAGGAGGAGGAGGAGGAGGAGCTTTTCGTGACAATTCCGCCGTTGACTTCTGATCGAGGGTTTGAATTACCCGATGTTATGGAACGAGCTGTCCGTCGAAAAACTACCACTCCAGCCGTGGCCACGAACGCCTCCAGAACCTCCAGAGAACATCCGAAAGAGAAGGGAGGAAGGTCGCGCGCGCACACCGCGGTCGCGCGATCAAGCTTTTGCATCCACGACCTCGCTCTGTGTGCTCCTGAAGCTGACAAGACAAGCATCCGCGCGCAAGCCTCGTCTGCATGGATTACTCCACGACTGCACCGACCCCAGCGCTTTGAAGAGCACCGCCGTCAAAACATGAGGCAGACTTCAAAAGGCTCGGGCCTCGTGCGGGCTTCTGTACGAGGGCCAGTGACTCGGGTTGCAAAAGGAGGGATGGGGAGAGGGGAGAGGAGGGGAGCAGGGAGGAGGAAGGGGGTGGGGAGAGGATAGCGAGGGGGAGGATGGGCACTGCCACGAACAACAGCACTCCGTGGTTACCAGCACGTCGGAAAATCGAGACCGTGCACAAGACTTGACGTTGTTGCTCAACCAGCAAAATCCCACCACTGCTAGGAACAACAGAAACTCTGAAGCGACAGAGTCGAAGGGGGCGGGCATTCACCCGCCTCTTGACTACAGGTACCCCCCGGACAACACCCACGCGCGCGGAATCCCGCGCGCGTGGAACCACGCGTGCTCTGATGCATGAACACGCGTTCCCCCCTGGACTGCAGGTAGACCCCTGGACTACAGGTACCCTTCCCCCGGACTACAAGTACCCCACCCCCGACTACTGGTACCCCCCTCCAGGGACTACAGGTATTCCTCTCTCGGACTACAGGTACCCTCCCCAGACTACAGATGATCCTAGGACTATTTAGGGGCACAGAGTAACAACCCCTCGTTGGCGGTGCTGCAATTGCAGTTTCCGGAACGGTGCGGTGACAGACAGCGCTGTGACCTCGGACTCCCTGACGACGTAGCCGCAATGTCTGCTACCTCACGGTTCTGGGACCCTGGAGGCTCCAATTATCCGAGGCGTCCTCGGAGAACGACCCAAGACCCAAAGCCGTGCGGTCACCCCGCATCTACGCTGACTCATCACACGGTGTGGGCACCGCACGGTTTGAGGCCTCCTGGAAGCTGAGACCTCCCCTGTGCACAGGCCTCCCCCAGAGCAGCAGCCAGACAGGTCGGGTCTGCACCCTCATGCCCTGCTAAACTCCATGCCCGCTCTGGCGCTGCGCCAGGACTAGGGGACTGTGGACAACAGTCGCTGGGCAATCTCCTTGGTCAGAGGGCGGCCGCCTGAGCCCGAGAGGTAAACCCACGGAAGGTAATCTTCATTATCGGCGCGAAGCTTGCGGCCAGACACAGTGTCCATCACGAAGCTGCGGAGCCCCTGGTAGCGGGCGCGATAGGCCACCAACTTCGATTTGGGCTTCCCGATGGCCTGGGTCATGGCCGAAGAGCTGTGGCTCCCGTGCACCAGCCGCACGAACTTCTCTGCACTCGCAGCCTCCTTGAAATTGACGTGGAAGTATCCCCTGCTCTGGTGGTTCGCGAAATTCTTGGGCAAGTGCAGGATGTCGAACGTGCCAGTGAAACCAGTCGCCTCGAGCATGGCACACACGTCCTCCCTCCGGCAGGTCGAATTGATCCCCTTCACGATCAGAGCGGTGTCACCTGCCCTGGGCGGCTCCTCTGCCTCGCCCCTGCTTCTCTTCTTCTTCGACCCGTGCTGCCGGTGCTGCTCCCAGGACTGTGCATCGACAGGGCCCTTCTCCTCCTCCTCCTCGGGCTCACAGGCCAGCTCATCCGCAGCGCAGCCCTCGTGCAAAAGCTTTTGGATAGCATGGACCACACTCTTCTCCTCCTCCTCCTCCTCCTCCTCCTCCTCGGGCTCGCCGTCCGGCTCATCCACAGCGCAACCCTCATGCGAAGGCCCTTCGGTGTCCTGCTGGCCGCGCGCTCTCACCGTCAGGAAACCCAGCAGAGCATCCGACTGCCCCGCCGCGGGTGCCTCGGCCGAGAGGGAGGCGTGGACCTCGCGCGCGCCAGCGTGCGGCTCCTCGAGCGCGAGCAGGCTGGGCGGCCGGCTCGGACGGGCAGCCGGCCGGGGACGCCCGGTCGCCGTGAGCCTGGCCGCAGGGGAAGCCGGGCTCTGCTGGAAGGCCTGCGCGCGACCGTCGGCGCGGGGAGCTCCTCCGAGAGCGTGGTGCCAGAGGCCCGGGGGGACAGCAGTCGAATCCCAGGGTGGCGCGCGGTGGTCCGATCGCAGCCTGTGCTCGCGCAGCTGCTCTGACATCTCGATGAGATGGCCCTGGATCCTGTGGTGGTTCACGATCGCCTTCCGCACCGCGACCGAGTCCTCGGCCAGCCGAAGCAAGGCCTCAACACTTTGTTCCTGGGCAGCATGCCAATCGACCTTGTGGGGAGACGGCAAGAACCGATATCAATGCCTTCCAGACCTCTTCTCGGGCACGTTCTAACGACGATTCCGAGGCAGATACAGCCGCGGCGACGAGGACACCACAGGAGGCCCAAAAAGGCTGAAACAACGGAAGAGTGTCGGCACTGAGATGTAGTTATCCTCTTGACCTTAGGCCCACGACCCATACGCAATGTTCTTACAACGCGCGCAAACAATGGCGTGATACAAAGAGGTCTCTGGCCTAAACAGCTGTCTGAGCCGAAACCATTGCGGCCGCTCGCGCGCTGCTCATTCCGGCCGTTCGGAAGGCCGGGAGCGCGGCGGCGCGCACATCGGAGCGAGAAGCCCTGCCGTGATGAGAGACCCAGGGGGGGAGCACATCTGGCCGATTCTGGAAAATGTTGGCGTCTCGCTTTACATCCGCCGTCTTCCGCACGCCTTCAGCTGGCTCCCGCCAGCGGAGCTGCCGCTGTTCTGCTTTCGCCAACTTCCGCTGGCCTTCCGCCAGCCTTCCGACGGGCGGGAGACGTGCCGGAGGCAAAGCCTTTCTGGGAACGCCCCAATTTGTCGTAGATCTTCGACCTCCCGAGAAGTGCCCGAAAGCTTCTGTGGGTCGTTGGGGCCCTCGGGGGATGATGACTTCCGTGGGTCACGTGCCGGCTGGCCAGTTTCTTCCGTGATGTGCCTGCTGCAGAGTCAGTGCCAGGTCAGGCAGTGCCGAGAGGTCGTGCAGGCATCGTGCTGCCGCAGGGAACGCCGAACAAGGAACGAAGCGGCTCTTCAGGCCACGGCGGGAGCCTCGCCCACGAACAGGTTCCACGACCTAGACCGCGGGAGCGGCCAAGAGGCCAAGAAGGGGGGGCACAAATCATGGCCGGCGGCATGTGCGCGGCCGAGGGGGGGGGCCAGGGACGTACTGAAACAAGAAGAAGCGCCATGGCATCTGGGGAGATAGCATGGCCCCCGCCATGTTTCCCCCCCCCCCCCCCAAGTCATCACCCCCCTCTTGGCCGCCCCCGAAGATCGCAGGAATGGCCCCCGAAGCCAGAGCCCCTCCTGAGCCCCCAAGTGGTCCTCACCTTCGCGCCTTGACAGTGCACCGCCGCGCTGGCCCCTCGGGCCACGGGGAGGGGCGAAGAGGCATCAGCGCCGCTGCTGCCCGGACCTCTGCCAGGGCGCATTCCTTCGAGTGGGGGATCGCCTGCAGAATTGGTGTACCCCAGACTGATTTGATCGTCGGGTCTACAAGACAGACGTAGCTTTGTTTCATGGGTTTGACGAAAAAAAATCGCCGGCCCAACGGGCCAGAGGCGTGCTAAGATCCCCGGTAACTTGTTAACAATATTTCTAGTTCGCGCGCGCGGAGCGGCCCCTGGGGGCCCCCGGACGAAAAGTACCCCGGCAAGGTCCCGAGAGAAGCCCGGGAGAAGCCACCAGACCACTCCAGGGGAGGGTATTTTTCGACACCCCTCACGAGGATCGTGGCCTCCGAGGGGGGAGCCGCAATCGACTACCCCCAAGAGCCCCCCAAGAGGCCCTGGGGGCCTCCAAAACGCCGCCAAGGAGCCCCAAGAGACTCCCAAGAGGTCCCCAAGAGGCCCCCAAGAGGCCCTAAAGAGGGCTCCAGGGCCGGCGGCATGAGCGAAGCGATTAAATAAGTTGGGGTACATCAATTCTGAAGTCGATCCACAACTCGAATTCTGACCATCGTCTCAAAGAAACTCCAGCCGCGGCGACGAATGCACCCAAGGACGAACCGCGGCACCATTCCCCCTCTGCACGCAGGGGACCCACGTCGAGATCCAGCTGCGTCAAGGAGGAGCAGGAGGCAGGGGGGCGAGGAGCTGAAAACGCGGGATGAGGAGGAAGGGGAAGGGCAGGGAGCCGCGAGGGGAGGTGGTGCCGCAGGGGTATGACGAGGGGAAAAGAGGAGGCGGAGGGGGAGGGGGGGCAGAGGGAGGAGCGCATCCATCGGAGGGAGGGAAAACCACCCGACCTCCTTAGTTGGCGTTTACTTCACCCCCGGCCCGAATGTCTCCAGAAACCTCCAAAGTAGAATGAGCAGAAAACTCGTCTGGAAGCCCAAGCCGAAAAAGGCCGACCCCGTGCCTACCCTCCAAGGGCGCCGGCGGCCTGGACTATCCTCCGCTCGTCCCGCGGCGCGCTCCGACGACTCCGGCCGTGACGACGAAAAGTGATGTGTATATACATATTTCTTCATGGTCGATCTATAAAGAAAGAAAAAGGGATAGAGAGAGAGAGAGAGAGAGCGAGAGAGAGAGAGAGAGAGACAGACAGAGAGAGAGAGAGAGAGAGAGAGCGATAAGGAACAACACATGTATCACCTCCGACGTATTCACCACTACCGGTACAACGACATCCGACACAGCAACCACCGCAACCACTGCGACCACCACCACTACCAGTACGACGAGCACTGCCACTCACACGGCCACCACCACGACCACCGCGACCACCACCACGGCCAGCACCTGCAGGACGCCCGCCGCCTGCTACTCCTGACCACTGCGACGACCACTGCGACAGCCGCCGCCTGCCGACCGCCCCCGCCCCCGCCCCTGGCCCCGTCCTCTGCCTTCCCTGCCCCCTGCCAGGCCGCCCGTGCGGCATCGCGTGCCTCGCGGCTCGCCCCCCCTCCCTCCCCCCTCCCCATCCCCCTCCCTCCGGTTGCGCTTGCCTTGCCTGGCGCCCTCGGGCAGGCTTCCACATGAGGTCGCCCCCTGCTCCTGGAAGTAGCCGCGTCGAGCTGGCGAGCTGACGGGCCCTCCTCGCCCCCTGCTGCTGGCTGCTGGCCCGCCTCAGTCCCCCCTTTCATGAGAACGAGAGGGAGAGAGAGAGAGAGAGAGAGAGATAGAAGAAGAAAGAGCGAGAAAGAGAGAGAGAGGGAGAGAGAGAGATAGGTAGAGCGAGATATCAACAATTGAGAAATGTGGAGAAATAGGAAGAAAAAGAGAGAGATAGCAAGACAGAAAAGGAATGGCATATATATACATATATATATATATAAAAGAGAGAGAGAGAGAGAGAGAGAGAGAGAGAGAAAAAAAAAACATAGAGAGAGAGACAGGAATATAAAGAGAGAGAGAGAGAGAGAAAAAACGCGCATCAAACACAACAGCATCGATATCGGCACAAGCAACTTTAACACCCACTGGCCGTACGCTCCCTCTCCGAGCTTCTTATCCAGCGTGTACGCGTCCTCGATCCTCCGGGCGGGGGGAGCCGTGGACAATTGCAGGGAAGGTGGACACTGCATGATTGACACATTGTCACAGGTAGATGTGGCCATGGGAACACTGGGCGGCGCTGGAGCGAACCCCCAAAAGGAAATATTATGTTGCTCGCCCACGAAGGCTTGGAAGGAGTGTGGGCAAGTCTGGAAAGAGTGGGAAAAGACCTCCTGGCCACTTTTGCGGGTTCCCCGCGCTGCAGGGCCGTCTCGCTGCCTTGGCCCACCGCATCGAGCCGATTTCTCAGTCCCAGGATGGGCAAGGAGGCCGCCTTGCGCTCGCCCGCCCGCGAAGGCGGCCAGGCGCGGCCAGCTGCGGTTGTTGTTCGTTCCCTTACGGTCTGGGTCAGGGGCTGCGGCTCGCAGGCCGGAGGGAGTTTAAACACGCTCGACGAGTGCCCGGCGCGCAACGGCCCTTCGACAGGACTTCGACGGAGGAGGGTGAGAACACGGAGGGCGGCTTCGGGGGGACGGAGAGCAGGAGAAGGCGGAAGAGGAGGAGTTTCCCAGCAGTTTCTCTTCTCACGTGGTGCGGTCTGGGCGGGTCGTGCCCCCGCCGCCTCAGCGACCAGGAAGTGCTTGCGGTCCTGGATATCATTCGGTGTGGCGGCCTTCCCCTTTTTCTTCTGCTCTCTTTTCTTCTCTTCTCTTCTCTTCTCCTCTGTGATATCCACATACACTATCTGTGTGGCTTTTATTCCATCCTCGCTTTCTTCGTCTTTTTTTTTCTGTTTTTGTTCATCATTATGTTTGCTTCCTTTCTTTAGATTCTTCTAGCATCTGGAAGAGTGGGGCACTGTTTGCCAATTCGGTTTCTTTTTCAGGGTCCACTTCTCTGTCCATCGTCACTGGCGAGTCCTGTCGCTATTTTGGCCTAGCGTTCCGCCTCGTTGTCCTCGAGGTCCAAGCTTCTTGTCTTCCAGTGTTCTTTCTTTCCCCTGCGCCAAGGGGTGTCTTCTTCTTGTCCCCTACGTCAAGGGGCTCTCCGTCTTCTGGCTTTGGCTCGCTGCTTCTGGCCTGTCTTCTCGAGCGCCCTTCTGCGCTGCTTGCCGCTGCCGTGCTTGGCTGAGCCTCTTTGGATGGCTCTTCCGTCCTTTTCGCCGTACTGCATGTCCTTGCCGCTGTTGTGTCCTTTCTTTCCCCTGCGTCAAGGGGCGTTCACTTCTTGTCCCCTGCGTCAAGGGGATCTCCTTCTTCTGGCTTCGGTTCGCTGCTTCTGGCCTGTCCACTCGGGTGTCCTTCTGAGCTGCTTGCCGATGCCGTGCTTGGTTTAGCCTCTTTAGCTGGGTCTTTCGTCCTTGCCGCCGTACTGCATGCCCTTGCCGATTGAGTGTTTTTTTTCTTTCCCCTGCGTCACGGGGTGTTCTCATATTGTTCCCTTCGTCAAGAGGCACTCCATCTTCTGGCTTCGATCCGCTGCGTCTGGCCGGTCTTCTCAGGTGCCCTTCTGCGCTGCGTTCCGCTGCCGTACTTGGATGGGCTCCTTGGGTTGGCTCCTCCGTCTTCTTCGCCGCACTGCATGTCCTTCCCGCTCTGGCCAGACGCATTCCCGGCCGACCCCCTTGGGGGCCGACGGCCCCGCGCGCAGTCCCAGCCGACTCCCCGGGGGCCGGCGGTCCGCGCGCAGTCCCAGCCAACCCCCTTGGGAACCATCGGCCCCGCGCGCAATCCCAGCCGACCCCCTGGGCGCCGACGGACCGCGCGCAGCCCCGGCCGACCCCCTTGGGCGCCGACGGTTCCGCGCTCAGTCCCACTTTGGACTCCCTTGCATCAGGGGGCTCTTTGCCTTTTGTGCTGCCTTCCGTCCTCTTTGCCGACCACCCAGTACTTGTCTCTTCGCTGTCTTCGGTCGCCGTACTTTCTGTCTTTGCCGCTTCTCTGCGTCGTCGTTCTTCTTCTTCTTCTGCGTGTGTTAGTCGACTGTGTTGTTCGCCGCGGATCCCGCTAAGCAATCCTTTTTCAACGTGTACTTTACTGAGCTGTAGCCAGGTCGCCTCAGACATGTTGTCCTCATTTTCCCGAGGCGCATTCTGCTGCAGTGCCGCCGCACAGTCTGCATGCGCATCGTTGATCTTTCTGGTGCCATATCGAGGGATGTGACTCGCGCGAGGATGCGCCGTCGATGGTTATCTGGGCACCTTCTAGCGCAGGAGGTCCTTGACATCCTCGGGTTAGCCATTCGCGTATATGGTCAATCCCTGGTCGCATTTTGATCATTGGTTCGCGACGCGTGCATCTCCAGACTTTGCCTTTCTTCAGCTTCTGCAGCGCGTGCGTGGTACTTGGTGGGTCTTTTCTGCGTCGGGGTCTCGATATTGTGTGACCGCCCTTGTCTTTCTTTCTGCTTTGCTTTTTGCCTGTCTCTTTTGGCTACTTTCTCTTCTGGCGGTCGCCTTTTCGATTGCCTCCTTCGTCGTGGTCATTGTGCGCTCCCTGACCAAACGTGCCGCCACTCTGGCCCATTCGTAGTTGGACATGTCCGCGCTGGCGATGGCTCTCAGTGCTGCCCCTCTGTTTGCCATGCCGTCTGCCACTTTGTTGCCTGCCCATGCTGCCTTTGAGATTCGCTTTGTCCTCGCTTCATCCCAGTCCATGTGGCCGTTGACGCGTCTGAGTGCGATGTCCTGCTCGTCGCCGCCTCTGTCGCGTATCGCTTTGCCTATCTTCCGCCAAATGTACTGGTTGCCGCCTGTCTTGCGCGGTCGGTCTTGCCTTCCGATGCTCCAGCCTGCGACGAGGATCTCGCTGTTCGCCCAGTATACTCGATTTCCCCCTTGTGCTGTTGAGGGAGCTCCTGTACGCCCGCAGCTCTGCTCCAGTGGCGGTCTGTCTCGCCCCTGGGAGCGCGCCAAGCTTTGCCTCCTTGATGGCGCGGCCGCGTGCGTCTTCTTTTATGATGGCCCAGCTCCAGCCACACCGTCGGTACCTCGCGCCATTGGAGTACTCCCCGCCTGAGCCGTCGCCGCAACCGACGATGACGCGGTCACTCCTGATGCATTCCTTGGACGCCCGAGTTATCCGGGGTAACTCGGGTCCGGGGTAACTCGGGTTTGGGTTCCCGAAAAACGAACCCGAGTTAGCCCTGACCCGAGTTACCCCTGATGATTCGGGGCTCTGGACGCCCGAAATATCCGGGGCAACTCGGGTCCGGGATAACTCGGGTTTGGGTTCCCGAAAAAGGAACCCGAGTTAGCTCTGGCCCGAGTTACCCCTGATGATTCGGGGCTCTGAATTCCTCCCTGGTGCCCTCGCCAATGCGTCTTTCTTCGCATCGTGTCTGGCGTGGCTCTGGGGTTGCCAACGCTCGTGGTGGTAGACCTCGCAGCCGTCGCTGGAACTTTGGATGCCGTGGTCCCCTATGCGGCGCGCGTCCGACTCGACCTCTCCACGTTCGCACTTATCGCCCGCGTCGCAATGCCGGCGCGTCCTCGATGTTGTCCATGTTCCCGCGCATGCTGCCGTGAATAGCGCCCCGTATGTTTGGCGCTATCCCTGCTTCCGTAGACGGCCGAGGTTGACGCGCAAGCAGGGTCTTGAAGTGCCGCGCCTGAAATCTTCGGGGGGGCTCTCTGTGGGGCCACGAGCTGAGCGAGCCGTGTGCCAGATTGGGCGTCGGGCGCATGCAAACCCTGCCACTGGGGCCTTCGGTGGAGCGCCCCTTGGGGCCACAAGCCGTGTGAGGCGCGTGCCAAACTGGGCACCGGGCGAATGCGGGCCCTGCCGCTGGGGCCCTCGGTGGAAACCTCTATGGTGCCCCGAACCGTGCGAAGGGTAGGATGTGCCAAATTGGGCGTCGGGCGCATGCGGACCCTGCCGCTGGGGCATTCGGTGGAGCTCCCTCTGGGGCCACGAACCGTGTGAGCGGTGTGCCAGATTGGGCGTGGCGTCTGGTACACGCGGACGCTGCCGCTTGGGCCTTCGGCGAAGCTCCTTATCCGCGAGCCGCGCGAGGGGCGCGCCGCATTGGGCGCGAGGATGGAGGAGGGGGGGAGGAGGGGGGGAGGAGAGGAGAGGAGAGGAGAGGAGAGGAGAGGGGGAGAGGACGCGGGGCGCTGTCTCTTCAGGGCGAGGACGAGTCCACCACCCAGCAGCAGCAGGAGCAGAAGCGCTGGGCCGAGAGAGTCGAGAAGGCCGAGCACCTACTGATCACGGCGCACTCCGAGGCCCCCGCGCACCGCGCCGACCTCAAGGTGTCCGAGCAGGGCGCGGGCGTGGCCGTCGAGGATCGCGGCGCCATCAAAAAACCACCCGAACACGCCAAGCAGGCCGCCGCGAGGATCCCCCGAAAGCTCCGCACCATCGGCCCTGGCCGAGAATGGCCTCCGAGCAGCAACAAGACGTTCCAAGTGGACGGCTGGTCCTGCGGACTCTGGGTGACGAGGTGGGTCGAGCGCGCCTTGCGCGAGATCCGTGGCGAAGGCCGCGAACCGCCCACCAGCATCAACATGGCGTGCGCTCGATGTATCGAATGGATCCAGAAGCATCATCCAGGACGCAAGCGACAATCACTCTGCCAAGGCCAAAGCCAAGAGCAAGGGCCAGCCGGAGAAGGGCCCGACCGCGCACGAGCCCAAGCTCGAAAACTTGAGGAACCTCTCGCGGCAGCCCAAGCGTGCACCAAATGCTTGCCCCTCAAGGGCGGCTTCAAGGGGCGCCGAGGCTGCCTGGCTAGGAACGCCAAGGATCTGAAGAGTGCGGGCAAGCTTTAGGCCTCTCACGAGAATGACTGCGGGAAACATCTCGTCATCGTTGTCGTCGTAATCGTCGTCGACGTCGTCGTCTTCGTGCGTCTTCGTGCGACGACGACGACGAGCTCCTCGTTCCTCGTCATGCATCCCTCGTGCGACTTGCCGTGGCATGTCGTGGATCATCCCCCCGAGACCCGGAACTTCAGAGTCCCCTGGGCGTTCTTCTCAGGGACACTGGCCATCCCCGGCCCGAAACGAAGCAGAACCGCCGGCTCTGACGACGTGCGATGCCAGGACATCGGGCTCCTTCTCCTCCTCCTGCTCCTCCTCCTGCCCCTCTAGGGAAACAAAAAATGACGTAAACATAATAACTAGGAGGTCCGCGCGGATTTCTCGGATCGGCGCTGGACCCCCCTCCCTGGCGCGCGGAGCGCGCCAGGGGCGGCGCCGGAGGCGCCGCCGGGGGGGCCCCAGCGCCGATCCGAGAAATCCGCGCGGACCTCCTAGTTATTATGTTTACGTCACTTTTTGTTCCCCTAGAGGGGCAGAAGGAGGAGCAGGAGGAGGAGAAGGAACGCGATGTCCTGGCAACGCATGTCGTTGGAGCCGGCGGTTCTGCTTCGTTTCGGGCCTTCTGCCCCTCCCCCTCCTCCTGCCCCTCCCCCTCCGCCCCCTCCGCCTCAGCACGGCCACCCAGCAGCCTTCGGCTCGAGGGCGCGACCGCCCCCCCCGTGCCCGCATGCGGCTCGCACTGACCATGCTCGGGCTGGGCGCGCGCAAGGAAAGCACAGACACTCCTCCCCTTCCGACCCCTCCTCCGGCCCCCTCCCCCTCCTGCACGGCTTCCCCAGAGGAGGGAGATGGAGGAGAAGGAGGAAAAGGAGGAGGAAAAGGAGGAGGAGGAGGAGGAGGAGGAGAAAGAGGAGGAGCAGGAGGAGGAGAAAGAGGAGAACGGAGGAGGAGGGAAGGAGGGGGAGGAGAAAGAGGAGGAGGGAGGATGAGGGAAGGAGGAGGAGGAGGAGGAGGAGGAGGAGGAGGTTCACTGCCCATATAGGGAAAGAGGTCCAGGGGTGAGAGAGGAAAAACGGGGTGGGTCCGCCTATCCAGGGAGGCTTTTGTCAGGCCCCCCCAGAGGTTCCATCCCTCTGGCAAGGCCCCCGACAAGGCGACCCCACCCCCACACAGCGCTAGCCGAACTCTCCAGCTTCGGCTTCGCACTCTTCCCGGGATTTGCGAGCCTGGGCCTCAGCGCGGGCCTGGACAGCCCGCAACCCGAGCTCCTCAGCTTCGGCCCGAGTCTCGAACCCGAACGCCTTCAAACAGGCTTCCATGCCGAGCCGAGGAGCGGCCCTTTGCTGCGAGAACGCAAGGAGCCTACTGGGGGGCCGACCGGCCCCTTCCGCGTCAGCTCCAAAATGATATCGCCAGCGTTCCCGAGTGGCTGTGGAAGGAACCTGGGGCTCGTCCAGAGCCAGTCCCTCCTCCGTGGGGTGCATGCGCCCACGCAGCCGCTTCCGGACGGTGTACGCCGAGCCGCCAGTGACCCGCCGAGGGCCAAGGCAGGGACTGCAAAGGCCCCGTTGTTTACGATGCACAACGGACTTGTAGCATGTCGTGCAAAAAAGGATCGGCTCCTGCCCAGCGACACCTGCTTCTAGAACCGAGTGTTGGTTGACCAGCCATGGGCGCCTAGGCCCGAGACCGTAACCTTCATCATCCGCGTCTTCCACGCCACCGTTCTCCCTCTCAGCCTCCACCACCACCACCACCCTGGCAGCAGCAGCAGCAGCAGCAGCAGCAGCAGCAGCAGCAGGGAGCGGGTCAGCAGGAGGAGAGGGAAGAGAACCAGGGGCATGGCGTGGGGCCTCGGGAGCGGCGGGCAGGTCGACCAATAATCCTGGAGGAACATCAGCCGCGCCAAAATCAATTAAACGAATCGCATCGAGCCCTTGATGGTCTACGATGGTCTCTTTGACACACCGAGTGGCAAGCCTAGCCGTGGCCTTGCACGCTTGCGACGCTAGGTCCAAACAGCCCTCGAGAAACAACACGTCGCTCTCAGACGAAGCCCCGAAACTAGCGCCGAACTTTGCGTATTCATCTGCCGATCTATTTCCTTCCAGCTCGAACTGCGAGAGAATTCCCTCCCGCACCTGTACCATCGAGCAGTGGCTTCTCACGTGCTGAAGCTCCAAGGCAGAGAAATCTTCTCTTCCGTGCACTCTCCGCCACAAGTGGGCGCGAGGGTTCGCAACCGACGTCGCTGTGCGCGGGCAGGTGCAGCACGACAGCGTTGCCCTACAATCTGCTAAGACACTGAATTTGCCCAACACGTGCTGGGCGACCATATACATTGCATAATCTTCTCCGTCTCGTGCAGAACATGTGGTCGAAAACTCTGGTGGCACTACACCATAGATGGCTCCCAAGAACACCCGTTCCGCAGAAAAAAAGACACAAGACCATCCCGTGGTGCGGAGAGTCGGGAATCTGGCATTGAGACCAGACCCATCTGTGAAGACGAACCCTCCATCCAGACGGATCGGCAGCTCGACGCCTGTCCCGCGCAGGGCCCAGAGGGGGTCAAAAACGGGCCTTGAAACGCACAGCCCTGGCTCAGGGAAGATGCCTCTAGCGAATCGTTCGCTCCAGGCTGGAGGGGCGCATGCAACCACGGCCGCAGCCTTGGCAAGCTCTGGTGAGATATTGTCCCGCCTCCAGGCTTCATGGCCAGGGCAGCGGTAACACCTATGATGCAGGGAGCCACGCTCCTCCTGGCAGAGCAAACAAATGTGGGAAACCGTCGCGTCTTGGTCGTGCAACCTCCCCTGCGACCAGTGAGTGCCTGCCACCAGGCCCCAGAGAGAAGACTGCTGATGCTTCTCCCAACCGGGCTCCCAATCACAGAACATCGCCTCGAGAATCGGCCGCCGAAGATCGGGGACGACCGAGGAGGAGGAGGAGGAGGAGGAGGAGGAGGAGGAGGAGGAGGAGGCGGAGGAGGAGGAGGAGGAGGAGGAGGCGACCTCAGCCCCCTCCCCATGCTCCCCCTCCCCTCCCCCCCGCATCCCCCCAGCCTCGCGCTCTTTCCGCCACGTCGGCCCCCAGAGGTCTGGACCCCCTTCCCCGGGACCGGTTCTGCATCCTGAGTCGTTTTCTGACGGTCTTGAGGCCCCGCAGGGGCCTCCGGAGGCCGACATTGGCGCGAAGGCCGCCCGTCGCGCATTCTTGCTCCACGACGCGAGGGGGTCTGGGCGCCCCCTCCTCCTCGGATCCTCCTCCCCCGTGCCCACGATCGGGGCACCGCTGGCGCCCGGCAGGGCCCCCGAGAGCGCCGAGGCCCGCGACGCGCGTCCTCCCCGGCTTGTCGAGGATGAGCT